GGGCCAGGTAAGTTTGGCCAGTCTTGACCCACATTTAAAATACATTACAATAATTTTTGAGTAGAGGACAAAATTGAACAAATCAGGTCACTTTGAGAAAAAGCACGCCCAATAGTGTGCCAAAAGCGCAATATGGCTTTATCAATTTCATTGCAATCGGGACACACCAACCTATCTGGCCCAGTTCAGACCCAGTTATGAGTTACTAACATGGCTGTGTGTTTGGCCCTTGTTTGGAAGCCAGACTTGGTCCAGTCATGTACCGCAATTCACTGCGGCATGTGGGCCAAGCAAAACCTGATTGTGGAGGTATTGCGTTGGCAGGTGTGTGTGTCTCTTTGTCTGTCTGTCTGTCTTTCTCTCCTTCTCTTTACACATTTACATCTCTTTACAGCCCCCTCCCTAGTTATGCAGATGATGTGCCCTGGGATTGGATGGAGTGACTAAGGGTGTGGGGCGGGATAGTGAGTTTTGTAGGAGTGTTGTTTTTGAGTTGCTAAGTGTTATTTTTGATTGTGTTTCCCCTGTTGGTGTGTAAGTTTTGACTCTGTTGTATATCCATCTGTGTTTCCCTCTCCTATTATTTTGTTTATGTTATGTTTATTTGTTTGTTGATTGTAACTATTTCTTGTACTTTTTGTTTATTATTTTTCTGTGGGTCTACTCCGAGGTAACTGGCATCACGTTTTTGGGTGATAAAAAAAAAGAAAAATACAAATAAAGAAACCTGACACCAAAGGGTCATAAAAATGATTTTTATTTGTCTGGTGATCTTTTATGTTGCGGCCTTGACCCTAGACCAGGGTCGTAACAGTGGGCCACATCTATTCGAAATTTTGCTGTGTGGGCTGTAGACTGATCATTAATGTAATGCATAAAAAGAGAAGCACAACTTTTAATAAGGATAAAAGAACCATTATAATAATTTACTAAAAACTGAAATTTTCACCTAACTGCAGGACACGGTTCTAAAATCAGCTGATATTTGGCATCTCCATCATGCCAAATGTGCTGCTATACGCTGGAAAGCACATGTTGTCAGGGCTTTGAGAAAATCGCTTAGTTAATTTCAGCCCACGTTATTTTCATCCCCGCTCTCCCCTATACAGTATGGACACAATCTCAATAAAGATGGCACATTGACCTATCTGAATTGCTGCACGCTAAACATGACAAACTAATTAAACAATTATTATTCTTTACTGTTTTGTGGGAGTTGGAAACTATACCTTTACAAGATGGAGTGTGGAGCACAGAGGTTAGGGGAAAGCAAAAAAATTAAATAATGTTTTTTTTTGAGACACATAAGTAATATTCAACAAATACAATTTGAAGTGAGATCTGATTACTCATGGAAAATGAAACAAAATAAATAAATATGCAAATAAATAAATAAATTCACAAATACCTGCATAAATAAAAATATACATAAATAAATTCGCAAATAAATAAATACATTTATTCATTTTCTTTTTGGCTTAGTCCCTCTATATTAATCATGGGTCATTAACTGCCAACTTATCCAGCACTTTTTACGCAGCGGATGGCCTTGCTGCAACCCATAACTGGGAAACACCCACACACACTCATTCACACTCATACACTACGGACAATTTAGCTTACTAAATTCCCCAATTGCGCATGTGTTTGGACTGTGGGGCAAACCGGGGGAACCGGAGGAAACCCATGCTAACATGAGGAGAACATGCAAACTCTCTATATTATATTATATTATATGATATTATATGATATTATATGATATTATATGATATTATATGATATTATATTATATTATATTATATTATATTATATTATATTATTCATTCATTCATTTTCTTGTCGGCTTAGTCCCTTTATTAATCCGGGGTCGCCACAGCGGAATGAACCGCCAACTTATCCAGCAAGTTTTTACGCAGCGGATGCCCTTCCAGCCGCAACCCATCTCTGGGAAACATCCACACACACATTCACACACACACACACTCATACACTACGGACAATTTAGCCTACCCAATTCACCTGTACCGCATGTCTTTGGAATGTGGGGGAAATCGGAGCACCCGGAGGAAACCCATGCAAACGCAGGGAGAACATGCAAACTCCACACAGAAATGCCAACTGTGCCGAGGTTCGAACCAGCGACCTTCTTGCTGTGAGACGACAGCACTACCTACTGCGCCACTGCCTCGCCTATATTATATTATATTATATTATATTATATTATATTATATTATTGTCATGATCACCAGCGATCCCTAACGACCAGAGGTTGCTGGAAAACATTCTCACTCGTACAAACTACAAATCCGCCAGTTCATGGACTACATTTTCATGCACGTCGCCCACAAACATTTCAAGCTCCAGCCCTATTATTCTTAAGAGAGGACTGTGGAAAATCTGCTTCTCTGTACTGGGTTTCATTAATGCCTAGTTCAGACTGCGTGATTTTAGCCCTGATTTTGGCTCGCCGACAGGTTTTGAGAAATCGCCGACAAATGCCTGAAATCACAGGCAAATCGCTGCTCGTGCACGTGAGTGACAATCACACAGTATGAACTATCAAAGACGCGATCTGAGAGAATCGCCGATGAGTCGCCGATGCCTGTGAGATATTTGGCGTGCTGAATATCTGGAGCTGTCGGCGATTCAAATCATGCCGTGTGAATTGAGTCTTGACTGAAAATAACATCTGCGATCGCCTACAGCCAATGAGAGAGCAGCTTTCACTTGTGTGTGTGTGTGTGTGTACCTGCTGCAGGCCAGCGGGAGGCTGGGGGAGAAGTTAAAAGCACTTATTTTCGGTTTATTTGGACCCACGAAATGGAGGGAAAACTAGTGGAGGTTTGACAGGACTCAGGAGCACCCGTGTCTGTTTGACGTTTCATATAGAAAGAAATTAGTTTATTATCAACGTTGAGGAGAAATGGCTAATTCCCTTTAAACCCAGGTGAGCAAACATGTACATGTTCTACCCCATTAAAGGCTTCTTTCTCATTATGTAGTTAATAACAAAAGATATACTACATGTTTTTGGCTGTGAGACGTAGTTTGGACGAAGTTGTAGGCGATTCTCCCTATAGTAAAGTCATGCAATGTGAATGTCCATGTCGCCGATCCATCTTGCAGTGTAAACAAAGCAGCGACGAAACGCAAACCCAGATAGTCAAGCAGTGTGAAAACATCTGTGACACGACTACTTTGAAAATCATGCAGTCTGAACTCGGCATTAGAGGGGTTCATTCATATGGCCGAATCCCGTTAGAGGGTGAAAGTAAATGACATGACATGTAGCAAAGTTTGGAAACCCTTACTTGGAATTTGTACTTGCATTTAACCCATCCAAGTGTACACACACCCAGAGCAGTGGACAGTCATTGCTGTGGCACCATGACAGCGGTTGGGGGATCAGTGCCTTGCTCAAGACTGGTGTTGAGAAGGGTGAGAGTGCTGGTTTTTCACTACCAACACCTACAATCCCTGCCAGGGCCAGGACTCAAATGGATGCCCCCTGTGAGTGCATTGTGTGACACCAAAAAACAACTTCCCTGCACAAAACATCATAGCCTGAAGTGTCCATCAGTGGTATTTTTTAAAATCCTTCATTCCAAAGTGTCTTTTGAAGTGGCCAGTTTTGAGCACTTTAGTTTGGAACAACACTTCAGTATGTTGGCCGTAATTATGTTCACTCTAAAGTGCCTTTTAGAGAGCAATATATCCTATTTGGAATGCACTACAAGTCAATAAATGCACTACTCCACCTTTGGAACTATAGAAATGTATGAATTCACTTTTATGACATACAAGTAGTATTAGTTTATTTATGCAGCACATTTATTCAACACAGCATTGTACTGCATTACAGACAGAAAAGATCGGATAGCCCTAATGACACAGTGGGCCTATATGTGTAAGAAATCTGATCAATAAGAAAGTGGCAGGACAATAAGTGCCAGTTATTGTCCCCACTTTAAGAGACAATAACTAATAACCTAAAATCAATCTGGAACCTGACAGGCAACCAGCCCAGAGAGGAAAGAACTGGAGATAAGTGTTCCAGCTTACGAGTTTCTCTCAGTGCGTTTCACATATGTACTGTGTGTGCTTTATGGATACAAATTAGTAATTCAAATGCTTGACAAAATGTATAAGCAATATACAGTATATTTCAAAATATTGCAATACATTTTTATAGAATTAAAGTTAAATATTTTTATCATATAACAATTTAACATTTTTGTTTGTATACATGATTTCTGTATAGGTAGCCAGATATTTATAATAATAAATCAGAATATAATAAGTTTTTTTATCAGAGAGTCTCTCGTGGAAAAGCTGAGTTTTGGTGAGAAATGTACATTAACTGAATGGGCACTGGTTGCACTACCTGTCTTTTTATGTTTTTTTTTTTTTTCCTTTTCATTCTATTTTAACACATTTAAAAAAAATAAATTTAATTATTTGTTCTTATTGTTCCTGAATGTTATTATTATTATAGTTGTTATTATTAGCATTATTATCATTATTTTACCGTGAATGAACGTACAGTAGGTCTAGCTGTTGTTTTTTTAAGCTTAATGTTTAAAATACAATACCATGCGCACTGTAGATTCAGAGCGAGAGAAACGAAAGTGAAAGTATATCTACAGAAGCCATTTTAATGTAGTTTCTGTCAACCATTTTATAGTCATTCTGCATTTCACTCTGTGCTGTGAACACACACACACACACGCGAGCACATTTCAGTTTGTCAATATCTATTTATTTAATGTATTTTTCACCGAAAACCAAGACTGAGCAACCGACGGTAAGAAAGACGCTTTTAAGACTACATAATAGCCTAGTCAATGTTTAATTACTTAATCTTTTTAGCTAAACGATACGATGAACTATTAGTCTAGAGCTGTAAAGATGGCAACAGACTATGCTTGCAGCAGAAAAATAAAACGTTTTAAAAATTAAATATAGCACCAACTTTATTAATAATCCTGTGTTTTTCAGAGATGCAAACAATCGGCAGTCTTCATCTTCAGCTGATCGGTAAAACCGGTTCGGGAGCGAGTGCTTCTGCAAACACTATCCTGGGTGAAAATAGGTTTAAATCCGAGCGGAGTTTGACCTCCATCACCGACAGATGCCAGAAACACACGGCTGAAGTGTGTAACAGAACAGTGACAGTGACTGACTCTGTTAACTTCTTCGACTCAAATGACATTGATCTGCGCTTGGAGTTACAGAGAGAACTGCGCACGCGCCCTGCTGGAATACACGCGATCCTGCTGGTGCTCCGTTTACACACATTCACTGAACAAGACGCAAAGCTCCTGTCATTATATAAGCAGATGTTCGGCGAGAGTGCAATGAAACACACAATAGTGCTGTTCACACACGGAGATGAGCTTCAGCATAAATCTCTCTCTCAGCTGATCAGAGAAAACTCAGAGCTGTCCAAACTAATAGAGGAGTGTGGGGGGAGATTTCACCTGCTGAACAACACAGATCTGAACAATAAAGATCAGGTCGCCAAACTCCTGATGAAGATTGAACGAATGCTGTCTGATAATGAGAACAGATGCTACACTTTACAGATGTTTATGCAGGCTCAGGCGATCAGAATACATCATCTGTGTGCAGTCAGTGTTGTCATTGTGTTGGCATTGGGTTATGTGAATATGAGGAATGAAGATTATTGGGTGTTTAATTCATTTCTTCATGGTTGTTTTGGGGGGGTGTTATCAGCATTGGTAGGGTATGCTTCAGGACGCATTTGTGCAAATATGTGGAAAAATGAGATCAGGAAGTGTGGGAAATGTACCAAAAGACACCTAAGAAATGTTGAACTGCTGGCAGTAGCATGGGGTTGTGGTGCTGGAGGAATCAGTGTGTTTTTGACAGGTCCAGTGTGTTTATCCACTGCATTATTGAGAGGGACACAGGGGAGTCTTATGGCTTATATCACAATAATGAAGCACCGCAGATTGATATGATGCATTCCTCAGTATCCTATTATCACTTCTTTCTTTTTACGTGTCATTAACATTGTTAGTGTGCAAAATCTCAATAAAATTGATCTAATTGGATCTAATGTATTGATGTTCAAGTGAATTATTATAATATAAAAAAAATGTTTTCAGAGATTTATAAAAAAAAGTGTGCACATATTCAGCCGACAAACTTCCACACAGAAATTTAAAGGTGAAAATGCCTCTAAAATGCAGTATTTACGTAATTATGGAGTAAATACTGAACCTGTCTAACACTGTGTCCTGCTCTCCTCTATAGAATATCCAAGTAACACTTTATGGTTTTGGTCAAATAATGAACAATGTAATAGGGTTAGACAAACCATATATATATATATATATATTTACCAACAACACACAATCCTCTCCTGCAAATGAGCACTGGTTGTAAGATCGGCAAACATTTGGTTTCTGTGCAGTATTGCCAAAAGTGCCAGGAATAAAAATGTTACTATTTACCCCACCTGCTGAAACAAACAGAGGGTTAGTTATAACACACAGATTTCACGTAGTTAATTTAAATTCTGTTTACTTTAAATAGTAGCTATATTTCCTCAGTGCTTAGCTCAATTAATTTTTTAATTCTACATAGTACAGCATCTTTATTTATTTATCTATTGTATAAACACATTTGAATCTATTTGCATTATTATGCATTATTTTACAATCCATTTATTTGCATTAGCAATAATTTTTTTTTTTTTTTGTCTATTGAAAATATTTTTTTATTAAAAAAACATTTTATTAAAAAAATTCCCAGGGTTACTACACTCGTTTCTTTTTTGTTTCTGGATAGTCTCTTTAGTCTAGAAATAGCTTAGTCAAATAGTCAAAAAATAGCTTAAAGGGGCTAATAATTTTGTCCCAAAAAATGGTGTTTAAAAATTTTATCTGCTTTTATTCTAACCGAAATAAAACAAATAAGACTTTCTCCAGAAGAAAAATATTATCAGACATACTGTAAACATTTCATTGCTCTTTTAAAAATCATTTGGGAAATATTTAAAAAAGAAAATAAAAATCAAAAGGGGGCTAATAATTCTGACTTTAACTGTATATATATATATATATATATATATATATATATATATATATATATATATATATATATATATATATATATATATATATATATATACATATATATACATATATATATATATATTTCTTTATTTATTTTTTTTACTATAATAAAGAATACTTTATTAAAATGCTTTCTCCTGTGTTTCTCATGCAAGTTTCATTTAACTTTTTCTGTAATTGGCAGAGGATGTCTGCTGAAACTGTGATAAAACCTCGGAAAATGCCATGGTTAACCCTGAGCAAATACCTTAAAACTCTGTTACATTTTACCCCACGTCACTTTGTACCCTATGTCCTCTAGAGCGGTGGACTGAGGGGGTCCTTATCCTCATATTGGATATTTCATTATGATCTAATGAAAGTCTGATGGAGACTCAACAAATTTAATAAAAATGATACTTAAATGCAAAAAGATGGGAATAACTGCAAAGAAGTCCACTTTTTTGAAGAAAAGAAACACCACTTGCCTTGCCTGACCAGTATTATAATTTCTGAATTGATCACAATCAAATCCTCACAGAAGTACTGGGATAGTTCAGAAAACTCTTTGGTGATTTTAAGTTTACCATACACATTAAAGCAACGTGACTTTCCAAGTTAAGGTTGTAGTAATTGTAGCACTGTTAATCCAATAGGTGGTGACAACTAATCATCAAAAATGTGTTTGTCACTGATAATCATTTTTGAAAAATGTATCAATGACACATGACGTTTTTAAAAGTTATAGAATGACTAGCTGAAAATAACATAAATTTAACTATTTGTTTTTTTGTTGACTATACTATCATGTTAAATTTACACATTTCTACAAGACCAACAATTATTAAACAAATATAAAACAGCTAAATTAATTATAAAATATACAAATTTTAGTGATTAAAGGTTGATAAAACCCTGAGTTTGTAGTATTTTTAATAATTAAACTCACTGAATACATAAATTATTGTAACTTGATTCAGGAAAAATAAACATTAAAAAATGTATAATAAATTATGAATAATTTTTTAGAATTAAATTAAAAAATAATTTCCTTAGAAATTTACATGGTTTACATGGTTGAGACAGGATATTTTACCTTCCATGTTTAAAATATTCTAAAATAAAAAAATGTCCCTGAGCCTGTCTGACCATTGATATTCTATGTAGAGGTGGACTGGGGGCATCCTTATCCTCATATTAGATATTTTATTACAATTTTATTATTTTTATTATGGAGAAACAACTTTGAAATTTAATAAAATTGTCTCTAACATGAGTTTGTGTTGTGAAATGTTAAAAACATCTTGATTGTTGTTTAATATCTGATGGTGTTGACAATAAGTAAAGAAAAAATGAAAAGAATGTTTCAACTCCTTAACTGTTGCCCTTTTTAATCATAGACATGAACATGACATGTTCAACAATTGAATGCCAATCAATGCTTTGGTGCACACATTTAAGCTTGGTCTCATAACTCTCATCTCTGGGAGTTGTAAATGAATAAATGACTGTTGTTCAGTAATATCAAAGACCAGATTTGGAAACTAGAACTTTTCAGCTTCTGAAACAAACACATCTGAGTTTGAACTGACTCGTATAAAGCTGGTCAGCAGGTATTTTGTGGATACAGTAAGTTTTTTAACTCCATTAGGGGGAACACTGAGCTTGAGTTTGCGCAATAAAACATTGTACAAACATAGCATATCTTTGAAAATCATTAAATATAGAATAATTATTCATCAAATAGGAGAATATTATATATAAAAATAAATTATTAACTGTGATCACAGCATGGAGAGAAATGCAGAATGGCCTTGTAAACTGGGTCACGGAAGCTTCATTAAAATGTCTTCTGTAAACAAGATTGGACAGGCTTGTAAGGCTTCACAGCCAGTCAATTTCAGAACATTCCAGTATGTATTATTGCTGCATATTAAATAAACTGCAAACAGAGTGGTTATCCAGTTATCATTATTATTTATTTTTTGACATACATATTCAAGGTGCTCCACAGTGTGACATAAATGCAAATATTTCAGAAGTCGAACAATGAATACATTTAATATAATAAAAACATGAACAAAAAACATACCACAATGTAAAAGTGCATTTCAACCCTGAGATGAGTAACGTGCAGCCCAGGACCAAGTAGTTTAGCTATAAATGCTTTAAAACATGCAGCACTACACTCAAAAAAATTATATGTCAGCTTTAATTAACTTTATGTCAACAGGTTCCACGTAACCAAGTTAAGTTACCTTAAAGAAAGAATATTTATTTGAGTGAACTTAAGTTAGTTACATAAAGGTAAGGTAATGTTGTTTAGTTCAATCAACACAACATTTATAATTTAGCTTTAATTTATTGACACTGCTAAAAAAAATCCGTTAAATTTACTGAAAAATACGGGCAGTGGTTGCCAGGAATTTTCTGTAAAAATCCGTAAGTTTTATAGGACTGTTTAAATTTACAGAAAATAACCATATTATATGAACTGATACAATGCTCACTTCACAAAAACCTGGTTTAGCCCCCAAAAATGTAAAGTTATTTAGTGTACTAATGTGTACATGCTGAACAATGTATCTACATTGTAAAAGCGCTATACAAATAAAGCTGATTGTACAATTAGCAAACAGATTTTCACTCTATTTGTAACTACACAGTTACTTTTAAACAAAAGAAGATGCAGCACAACATCAGCAATCCTTAGTTTATATTAGACCTGCACACATATGCTACAATCCTCCACAATACTGTAGTCCTCTGTAATCACTGAACAACATCTGCAGAATTGTCATTAGAAAACCTTAAGGGGACATGCTGTCAGTGAGTTCAGCTGGAAAAAAAATAATTAAATAAAATGAAACAAGGTACTGTAACTAATAACAGCTGGCAAAAACCATTCAATTTTAACATGATAAAAATATGGTAAACTTATATCACAGAGGTTTGTAGTGTCACACCAAACCCCTTTGCCAATGAGACTGCTATTGGTAACCCACTTATTCCAGAATGAAGTAGTCCCAGCAGGACAATGGGTACAAACATTAATGCTACAATTAACAGAAATAAACCTATAGTAATGAAAACTCCTTTGTACTTAATAAAAAAGACCTTGATTTTGAGTCTCAAACCATCTGAAAACATCTTATTGGAGTAGCAGCTTCCTCCATTCTCATCTATTATTCTGTCAATCTTCTGCAGCAGATCGTTCACCTGCTTTCTGTTTCTTGGATCTTTATTATTCATGATGTGGTACACTCCTCCACACCGCTGAACAATCTTGCTGAGTGTTTCATTCTGTGTAATGAGATCTTCCACACTCTCTCCCTCTAACTGATCTCCATGGGTGAACACAGGGATTGTGTACTTTAACATACCTTTTCCGAACAGCTTTTCAATGTTAACAACAACAGATTCATCTGCTTTTGTGAATCTCTCTGAAAGAGAAATCACATACAGGAATGCATGCGGGCCTGGACTGCACAGATGGATACTCCTCCCAATTTCTTTTGATATTATACCTGGTTTTACATTTAAATCAAAAAATCCAGGCGTGTCAATAACTGACACGTCTCTCCCTGCAACAACTGACGACAACTTTTCAGACTGTTTTGTTACAGAGTTGAAGTTTTGCTCAGATTTAAAGGCATTTATCCCCAGGATGGTATTCCCCGTGGCACTTTTCCCAACACCCGTCTTCCCCAGCAGAATCAGCCTTCTCTCTCTGTTGTTTTCAGCAATTATTTGTCTTTCCAGAAATGTTTCTGTTTCGTTTCCTGATGGAATATGAGAAAAAGAAAAGAAATAAACTAATATAATCATGCCAATACAACATGTGTGAAACAGGTGTATTAACTCTACATTTTAGCATACTATAAATTAGGTTGTTTTTTGTATGTATGTTCATTCATTAATAAATTCATTCATTCATAAAAAAAAAAAAATATATATATATATATATATATATATATATATTTATGTATTAGGGCTTGCATAGACTTGCTCTGAAGCAATCGACTACTCGAGCGTGCATTTATCCTTAAATGACATCAAAAAGACAAACGTATCCAACAAACCCAAGGTTAAATCCAAGATTAAAGCTTCCAATAACAGCTGATGATTAAATTCAAGAATATTTACATTATCAACATTAACACCACAGGGAATCCTCTCGAATGGTAGTTACATGGTTTCTGCTACATTAATTCTTCCGTGTTGGGGCGCCACACCAAAAAACATTACAGCTTCCCATTCAGAACATTCAGTCGTGTTTTTTTAATAGCTGGTTATAATCGCACCAAAACTTATTAAAAGGTAGGTGAATTATAACAGCGCAAACTTTACTGTGTGTGCATCATTTGTTTAACCCTTAAAGGTTACGTGCTGACTGACTGACAGGTGCCTGATGCTTGAGGCCAGCAAACACAACGTAGCTTTCAGTTAGATTAACAGTTTCCATAAGTATACTTTATAGGTAAAGATCTATTGCTCTGCATATTATGATTTTATCTTAATAATTTTGTGCGCAAGCAAAGAGATTGAAATAACGCTATAGGTGTTTGGTAGATCTGAATAAAAAAAGCCTGCCGCCACAGCTGGAAAAATTCTATAGGAAACACAGAGTAATGTAATGAATATCAGTTTCCTCTACTATCCAAGCTAGCGAAATCATTTGCTATCTCTGCCACCAGCACGCGAAGTGAAAGAACTTTTCTTTGGCCGGCAACACTGTAACAAGACAAAGAGCAACCTGCATCCCTCTCACTTGGATGCGCTAGTATTTCTAATGTAAACCAACAATCCATGAGCTTGACTAAAGACTGGCTAAAGGATGAGAGGAGGGAAGACTTGTGTTCTGTATAAAGTCGGATGAAGTAAGATTCTATTCTGTTGAAAACAGGGTAAATATAAAATTATTAAATTGCAAGACGGGCTTTTCATTCATAGTTGCGTTGCTGTTTTTTTCTCTATGACTTTTAAATATGAAATACATTTTCTCATACAATATGTCTACATGTTAAAATATCATGCAGTCATTTGTTAATTTACTGTGTATGCGTTTATTTTATTTATTAATTAACATATATATTTTTAATTTATTTAAATAATTTATTTATAAATATTTTATTTATTATTTATTTTTTGTTTGGCTGTATGGACTATTGTCGCTTGTTGAACTATTTATTTTCTGAACCAAAATAATTTTCATTCTTGTTATCACTTGCGCGCACATGATCGTTTGCATAATCTTCATGCTGGTTGAAGTATATTTATTTGTTCATTTTGTTATTTTAGTAACTGTTGTAATGTAGCAGAAATAAAATGATTGAATGAGATTTAGCCTAGCTCAGAATAATTGTATTAATCTTTTATTAGTTTTATGAATACTGCGTTATGAGCATGAGTTTTCAGGACGCATTTTAGGTTTCGGGTGTGGCTACTTTTACTTTCTATAGCCTACATTACATGTATAATTAAAATGCAATAATTAACCTAGCTTTTTTCTTTTTTTTTTTCGTTTGTATTATAAATATTTAATTTAAGTATTTTCAATTTTAAATTTTTATTTATGCATTATTTATTAATTTAGGCTATTATTTTTTTTTTTTTTTTTTTTTGCGGGTCAGCTGTATTGTTGACGAGAACTATTTTTATCTCTCCGAACTGGTTTAACAATTAAGTTTGACTTAGTTGTCATAACGGCTGAAAAATAAAGTTACTTTAATAACTTAAAGTATTACACAATGACAACATGAGTTTGTTTCACATATACAGCAAGCTTATGATGCAGATGTTAAAAAACAATGTTGCGTGCAGATTTTAATTTTTATATTACTCTGTAACAGTAACAAAAAAGAAATATAATGCTTTGACAATTTATGTTAGCGCTATGAAATCAATCCATTCAGCTATGAATTAATAAAACATATTGAAAATGATTTCTTTGTGTCTAGCCCGAACCACGGGTAGTGGAGTAACTCGAGTATTGTTTTGAAAAGAAATCGATTAGCAGAAACCAGTAGTCGTGCAAGTACATATATATATATATATATATATATATATATATATATATATATATATATATATATATATATGAGCAATATCACAAGAGTAGTACTGCGATATGTATATCCGCACTGGTGGGAGGCATGTGTTATATACAGCCATATGGCACTGCTACTCGTGTGATATTGCATTTATACAACAGTTTGATGGCATAATTGTGTATATAAAAACAAAATCAAACACGGAGAGTTTCATAAACCCTTTCAAACCCCATCAAATCATAAGCTTAGTTAAACAATTAAACAGAGTTAAACAGCTGTTAAAACAGTTAAAAGCATCTTTTAAACTGTAGATCTGTAGTGTCTGCTTTTTGCTGGCTGTATGTGGGCGGAGTAATACACAAAGGGTAAAGAGGCTGTTGGAGTTCTGGTATTGCAGAATATTGCACGGCTATCAGCCAATCAGATTTGAGAACCAGTCAGAACTGTTGTATAAATATATGCATACATACATGAAGCATACTTACGTCTCTCTGGCTTTATGAGTTTAATCTTCTCTATTAAATTATGAACTTGTTCTGGAGATTGTGTGATGTTGTTGAAGATAAAGTATCTGTAGTCAAATCTCTCAACAACCTCTTTGAGGTCTTCAGCTTCTTCAATGAATTCTTCAAGGGTGAGATCTTCTCTCTCCAGCTCATCTCCTCTGGTGAAAATAATCCAGGTGTTTTTTTTGAGAAAGTCTGGCAAGAACTCTTCAATCGACTCTACAGTGTTTTTCTCTTCTGCAGTGAATCTGTCTGACTTGATCACCAGTAAATACACAAGTGGATCCTGCGTGTTAAACTCTGGAAGCCCAATAAATTGTCTAAGAAACTCTTCAGGACTCATTTTTAGTGTTTCTGGGTCAAATAATCCAGGAGTATCATAGACTGTAAGATTCACTCCATCTCTGGTAATGCTTTCACTCTGAACTTCTTGTGTCACAGACTTAAAACTTTTCTTTGAAATGAAAGCTTTTCTTCCCAAGATGCTGTTAGCTGTTGCACTTTTACCAACTCCTGTTCTTCCCAGTAGGACAACATGATAATGCAGCACAGACGGTGACGTTTCAGCAGTTCCCTCCATAGCTAGACAATGATCATCAGAGCTGTGCAGAGGTGCAGTTAACACAATCAGTGATTTGATCAATTGTTACTTGATTGATTTGTTACTGTAAACAATAATCAACCTACTGTAAATGACACGCAAACTGTAAGAAATTATAAATCAATAAGTCATGGCATGTTTTTATTTTAATAATAACTTATTATAGAGGGAATCATTTCAAATTTGCATCACACTAAAGTGGCTTAAAATATTTCATGTAAATTTACTTAAAATGTATAACTTAAATTAAGCTAAAATAACTAAATGATAAGGTTTATTCGATTCAAATTATTTTTTTATTGGTGGCACTTTATACTGCACGGTAAAAAAGTACAGTGTGCCTTGAATTTTTATGGTATACATCAAGTGGTACCAATGTGTGTGGAGGGCTCAGTAAAACCTGAACATTTCTAAAACTGTGTAACAATAAAAATAAAGCAATAAAAGGCTAAACTGTTGGGCAGTATATTTGTTTTTTAAAGGAAATATATGCTTTACAGTATAACGGTTTGTATGAAACCCTGTGTCGTGGACTCAGACACTAATGCTTGACAATAATAACTTTAATAAGTTGCATGTTTTAGTTGTAACATTCATTCATTCATTTCCTTTTCAGCTTAGTGCCTTTATTAACCTGGGCTTTCCTTAGCGGATGAACTGCCTTATTGTAACATCATGTTCTAATGCTTATTTACCATCACTTTCCTTTTTTCTAAGGAGAAGAGAAAAAAAAAGAAGATAATGATATATTTTGCCATCTCACCCCTTAACTAGTATCATTGACAGTTTTAATTTACAATAATCTTCTATGTTAAGCTGCTTTGACTCAATCTACATTGTAAAAGCGCTATAGAAATAAAGATGAATTGAATTTAATAGAATCCTAAATCTCTAGTTGAGCCTTTGCGTCTGGCTTGGTTGTTTTTTCCCCAAACAAAGGCTGCAAAATCTGTGACCCCAGAGGCAAACTGCATACTGTACATTCTGCCCATTCAACCAATGAAGACAAATTCTATACAGCAATTTATGCATTATATATTAATTACGTACATATTAATACGTATTATTATTATCATATTGATCACGTGTTGGCTACATGTACAGCAAATGTGCATCTGTCCGTGTTAAGGTTTTTAGTTCAAACTCGAAAGTTAATTTTCTAACAGTGTATAATTTAATATTAATATAATTATATAATACATTTAATATTCATATTATACATATAAAATATTATGCATTTTAAACTATATATATATATATATATATAAGAGCTTCATATTGAAAATTATATTCATATTTTCTACAATTTACTTTGTATTTTCACAAATTAATAAGTAAATAAATGCTTTTTTAAAAAGACGTTGCTACAATACAAATCTGAGGAGATTAAACACTACCAGAGTGAATTTGGACAACTAAACAGTAATTCTGAGTAAAATATAGGAAAGTACCAGAATTC